AGCTTTTTAACAGAGGGAAAAACCGTAAGACTCTTCTTGCTAAAACTTATGTACAAAACTTATTCACTGCTGCAATACATAGTCATTTAAGTTTTTAGAAAGCTTTGGTTTGCTAGAAAACCATTGCTGCAAAGCAAGTCAACTATTTTTGATGTCTAAGTAGGGGATAATATTCTCTTAATTTGTCATGATAAAACTTCAGCAAACCCATTTCTTAAAATTTATTCAAGTGCTGCTGCTACTTGAAAGAGAGAGATAATTAATTGAAGGAGAATATGAAGCTACACCAAAAGATGGAATATTTAATATTAAATATTAAAAAGTAATATATTTCAAATATTCTTTGTGATAGCTTTGTAAAGTTGTCTTCTATAGCTTGAAATTTCCTGGCATTTCCCTTCTGCAGTTCTCTGAAGTGGCCCCAGTATGTGAGTTATGATTAGAGCAGGGGGTTGTTTACATTTATATTTAGTGAATTAGAGGCAGAAAAGGATAAAATAGCAAGTTCTAATTTTAATCCCAGTCCCACCAAAAAATAGAAAATTAAAGTTGACAGAATTTATTATCCCTATTATAAGGAAGGACTTTTACTCAAGGTAATTCCTCAGTCCCAAAAAGAATGGAAAGGGGGGTGAAGACGTGTTCAGATATTGAATATCTTTATACAACATTGAAAGTTCAGAATGAGCACTTTGGCCCCTATATGCCCTCCCTCAGCTCAGGTGACCGGTTTGCAGGCTTCGATTTGAAGGATGCTTCTTTTCATTTGGACATTCATCCTGCTCACAAAAAGTTCCTGCAGGTCACAGTGGGCCAGGAGCACTTTGAATACAGGGTGCTCCCGTTCAGCCTCTCCATGGCGTCAGGTTATTTACAAAAGGTGTTGTGGTGATGGCTGCATACCTCTGTAGACAGGGGAGATGGATATTCCTTACCTGGACAATTGGCTGCTCATTGGTTGGTCATACCAGGAGGTACAAGCAACAGTCACTACCACAATTTAACTCTTTGATTCCTGTCATTTTGGATAAGTCCATATTAACACCTGCACAAACCATACAATTAATTGGGTGGACCTGAACTTAGACACAGGGGGACCTGCTTACCTCTGAACCAATTCCTGGCCATGAGGGATCTCATCAGCCAGCTTCATCTCAGCCCTCAGACTACAGCCCAATCCTGCCTGGTTCTGGCCACTTGGAGGTATGCACTTATGTCACCCCATTGACATGATTGCATCTACAATGTCTCTCGATCTGCAAATTCCAGGGCCTACTGTCCCCAAATGAGGGCAATGTGAAGCACCCCAGTCCAGCACCCTACATCTGGCAGCATAGCTTTAGGATGGACAATGAGGGTAGAACAAGCCTTCTTTCAAGACGTTTGAGCCATCCTCCAGAACAGCAGGAGACTCACTGTGGGAAAATGCACTGCTCTGCCTTCCATGCCAGCAGCGTCACTTCCTATTGAGGTCCCAGGTATCGCTCCCCTACTGGAGTATCTTCTTTTGCTAAAGACACCTGGCTTGTTGATCAGCTCCCTATGAGTATGTTTGGCAGCTCTGAGCTCTTTCCAGTCCCTGATGAAAAGCTGCCCTGTTTTTACTCATCGCTCTATCACAAAGTTCCTGAATAGCATCATAAGGATATTTTCTCTAGTTTTGAAACCAGTTCCTGCTTGGGATCTGAACTTCATTCTTTCTGCTGTCCTTTTGAACCTTTAGCCCCTTGTTTCCTTCTGCACCTTTCTTTGAAAATCACCTTCTGATAGCTGTTATCTCTGCTAGAAGGGTAGGGAAACTTGGAGCCCTTATGATAGACCCACCTTACACAGTTTTTCACAAGGGCAAGGTTTCTTTAGGTCTACATCCTAAGTTCATACTTAAGGTGCCTTTTGAGTTTCATCTTAACCAGGCTATACACCTACTAGTGTTTTATGCTAAACCTCACTGAAGCATGGAGAAGGCAAGACTCCATACCCTAGACATATACAGGGTTCTTGCCTTCTTTTTGCAAAGAACAACTCCTTTTCGGAAATCTCCAGGGTTGTTCGTTGCTGTTGTCGAGAAAATGAAAAGGAAAATATCTCTTCCCAAAGACCGTCTAAGTGGATAGTCTCTTGCATTTCTCTCTCATATAATGTTATGAAAGCCCCTCCTCCTCAAACTGTCAGGCCCGTGCTACGATAGCTCAAGTGGTTCCAGTAGCTTCCTTACAGGGAATTCCCCTCTCTGAGATTTTCAGAGCAGCCACTTGGGGCTCTTTACACACTTTCACCAGGCATTATGCGCTATTTCAAGCTTTGGACACAGATACCTCCTTTGGCTCAGCAATCCTCAACTCTGTGCAACCAGAAGGAGCCAGCAGCCAGCTTTCCTCACCGTGAAGGAGCATTTTCCTCTGCCCCTAGTTGTGCTACTGAAGACCTTTCCAGCTGAACTGCCTCCTTAATCTTGGAGATCTCCATATTCATATTCTCAATGAATTCCCCATGATAGAGAATAATATTTGGTAAATACAGCCTGAGAGGTAGCAGGAGAAAGTAAATTTAAAAAAAAAAAGATGTTTCTTCTATATCTTGACATGAGAAGAGGGAATGATCTGGAGCTACGAGAAGGGAGCTGTGGAAATTCCCACATCCCACTCTTGATAGGACATAAAACCAAGAAAATTCAAGAGGCTGAAAGTAACTGAGGGCATGTCTATACTGGGACACTCAAGAAAGTTTTAAGATGAGCCAACTAAAAGCTTGAAGCTAAAGTGCATTTAACTCCTATGTGGAGTTCTCATTCAGAAGTAAAGTGGCCTGCTTAGACAAGTCCTGAAATCTGAATACCCTAGATCAGTCAGACTAATTTCTGCATAAATATATACCTTGTCCTCTTAACTATGGCCAAAATTGGGGTTTAACATATCTAGTGCAAAATGCATGAGAACAAATGGCAAGAATCTCAAAATTGGGTTCCCAAGGCTTTTGAATAGTACACAACTTATCTGGATTCTGACCTCTTAAAAGGTTAATTGCAAAGAATTTCTCCTCCCATCGCCATCTTCAAAATGTTAATATGTATTACTAAGTGATCCTATTTTTAATATTGTCTTGTTTATCTTTAAAATTTACATGTCTGACACTGACTCTCGTCTGAAGCCTAGTTGGCGCTAATGAAGTCCTGTTTTAGAGGACTTCATTAGGCAAACTAGGGATCTTTAAGTTTGTGCCCAAAGTGTCCACACAGGGAATTTACAGTACAGCACTTTGGTGCATGCTGCAATTCACACCCTCTTAGTCTAAACTGCAGATCAGTGTAGGCATGCACAACTAGGGGAGGAGGAAAATGCTCCTTCCCAGTGAGGAAAACTGGCTGCTGGCTCCTTCTGGCAGCAGGCAGTGATTCACCCCTGCTCCCAACCCAGTGTTCATAGAGAGGGAAAAAATGTATGCTGCCCTGGCAATGAAGAATGAGGATCCTCTCCCAAAGGTGGAAGAGGAGAAGCCATGTACCTCCAAGACTCCCAAGAGGAAAAAAGGGTGGTGGTGGTCAGTGACTCCTTTCTAAGGGGGGGCGGAGACATCCATCTGATGGTCTGACCTGGCATCTCAGGGGTGTGCTGCCTGCCAGGGGCCCATATGACAAGTTACGGAAGGATTGCCAAGGATTCTGACCCACTACCCTATGTTGCTCATCCATGTGGGCACTAATGATTCTGTGAGGTATGACCCTGAGCAGATGAGAAGTGACAGCAGTGCTCTGGGAGTAAGGGTGAATGAGCTGTTGTGCAGATGGATTTCTCATCAATCGTTCAAGTCAATGCTAGGGGGCCAGGCAGAGACAAGACACATCCTGGCTACATGGATGGTGTCGCCAGGAGGGCTTTGGCTTCCTTGACCGCAGGATGCTGTTCCAAGAAGGACTTCTGAGTAGAGGTGGGGTCCACATATCTTGAATCAGTACCAGCTCTGCTGCCAACTCACTATGTAGCCTTTAAAAAGAACAGGAGTACTTGTGGCACCTTAGAGACTAACAAATTTATTAGAGCATAAGCTTTCGTGGACTACAGCCCACTTCTTCGGATGCATCCGAAGAAGTGGGCTGTAGT